TTGCTTCTCCTATCATCAGAATGTTGTAGGTTTTCTACCAAATAAAGCTTGCCCCTATTTTCAGATTTTCAGCATAAATTTTCAGTAAAGCAGCTTCCCTCCAATCATCAGAATGGTGCAAATTTTACACCAGAAATTATTATTAAAGTTTGTTCCTCTATTGAGCAAAAGGATGCAAATTTGAGACCAAACATTTTCCGAAAAGCTTGCCCATCCGTTCACCAGAACGGTGCAGATTTTCCTCCAGTAGTTTTCAATATAGCTTAATTTAAATAAAGCTTGTGCCTTCATTGACCAGACCAGTGCAATCTTATATATAAAAGGAGGGAAAATTGCCCCACCTTGCTCCACCCTGTGCACGCCAGTGCTGATTAGCCTCCCAAAGTTACAACTCATTTGGTTAGAAACAGACTTCGCACAAGCCATTTGAAGTTTACATGTAAATGACTATGGGAAATCTAAACTTTCTGTTGATTGCCTTCTAGTATTTTCCATATTGAGCTGCGAAAAAGTTTGATAGTAATTCTTATATAAAATTTTCTCAGCTACAACTTTGCTGAAGATCGTTTCTATGTAAAACGAGACTGGAAAAAGTTATACATTATTTAAGAGATTAGTAAACTTATGACTTTATCAAGCAGCTGCTCTGTAGGCAACACTGTATTTTGCAGTGTGACATAGTAGCCATGATTTTTGTGTCCTATTCAACGTCCCAGAAACACCAATGTTGCCTGCTGAGCAGTTGATTGAGCATGATCATAAGACATCAGCGCATTGAACCATTGATAACTTTCGATTTAATCAAAAAGTGGTCTTCAGCAAAGTTATAGCTGGGAAAATTTCCTACAAGTATAGTTGGAAGCTTTTGAAGCAGACCGATATGGTGAATTATTAGATAGACATGAACAAAAATCTTGGTTTTACCATAGTAATTTCTATACAAACTTCAAATGGTTTGTGCCATCTCAGTTTCTCACCAAATGGGTTCAAATTTTGAGAGGTTAGTCAGGATCCGGTTTGAAATTGTTTAAGTATTTTGGAGCGAAAATTTCAAATTTTGCATCACTCTAGTGCACATACTGGTTTCAAATCCAAATTCATTCATGCAGCATAACAACAAGTTGGTTTAAAAATACTCTTTTCCACATTTATTTCACGTGGTCTTCCAGAGGAATGCTTTGCTGGATCTAAGATTGGGCCCATCGCTAAAAATCTACTAATTCGAAACAAGAAGAGTTACGCCAGCAAATCTTGGGCGCGGTGATCGATAATCCTGGTCAGTCGCACAGATGGATCGGCAAAAGGCTTGGAATCCACCATCCCACCGTGTCCCGCGTTGTGAAGATGTTCCAGGAGACGAAGACCATCGACTGGCGCGTTGGAAGCGGCCGAAAACCGAAAACGGAATACCCAAAGAAGGCGCGGAAGATAAAGCAGTACTTTAAGAATAACCCGAACCTTTCCACCCGAGACGTGGCCAAAAAGGTCAATTCGTCGAAGTGGTTCGTCCAGCAGACCATGAAGCGGGCTGGGCTACGTGTTTTTAAGGTCAGGAAGGCGCCAAACTGGACTGACAAGCAAAACACGGTGGCCAAATTGCGTGCGCGGAAGCTGTTCCGTGAGTGGCTGGTCAAGCCAGGCTGTCTCGTCATGGACGACGAGACATACATCAAGGCGGACACCAAACAAATCCCCGGCCTCGAGTTTTTTGTCGGTACGTCCCGCATGGAGGTTCCGGAAAAGTTCCGGAAGAGAAAGATGGACAAATTCGCGAAGAAGTACCTGTTGTGGCAGGCGATCTGCGAGTGCGGACGGTACAGCATGCCGTTCGTTACAACCGGCAACATAAACGGGCAGATTTATCGAGAGGAATGCTTGCAAAAACGCTTGCTGCCCTTCCTCCGCTCTCACCGTGGTCCCACTGTTCTGGCCGGATCTCGCTTTGTGCCATTACGCCAAGCCTGTAATGGATTGATACGAAGCGAAGGGCATTAATGTGGTCCCGAAGGAGGCGAACCCGCCAAATACACCAGAACTTCGTCCGATCGAAAAGTTTTGGGCGATAATGAAGAAGAAGTTGAAGAAAAGCGAAAAAACATTCAAAACCGATGAAGCTTTGAAGAAAAACTGGGAGAAATTGTGTAAGGAGGATCTCATGAGCAATACTAAGAGAAATGAACGAGCATTCAACTTGAGAGAGGAAATTCAATAAATAAATTATGCCAAAACATAGCTTAGTTATTTAATCCCTGAAAATTTGAGAAGCATCCGATTTAAAATGAATTTTTGGTGATCATTTTTGTGTGTCTCTATTTTTCCGAGTCCAGTCTTTATTTATCAATTTTATCTAGACGAACGCGTCATTGGGACAGTACTAATGGATAGTTTTGGTCGCTGTTGAATATTTAGTCGATTTCTGAATTTATGTATGGGCCCAAATTAGGGACATTTAGGCCGACATTACATCCATTTCCCCTATCACAATGTTCAAATGAAAAAGAGAACAAACAGTTCATAGATAGCAACGCTTGGGCCGGTTTTTTTTTGCGTTATAATGGAGGTTGCTAAATTAGCTTTAACAACGCATTGGTGCGGGTGGTCTTACTCGCTGCAAAAAAGCAACTCAGAGTTAAGCTGTCTCACCCCTTGCCCAAGC